TTGGAGAAAAAGTAGGGAGTCAGGAGCAAAAGTAGGGTACTAGGCATGCCCCCTGCACACAGCGACCTAAGGAGTGGGCAACCCACCTAAGCCACCGGCTGGCTGACCCCCTGGACAAGCCCTACCCTCATCCCATATAAGGAACCAACATGCCCCCCTCAGGGAACAAGCAAGCAAGGGAACCGGTTGTTTGTTCTCACTCCCCCTGCTGTAGCAGGGGCAACCAATAAAGCCTTGCCTGAATTTCTTGTCTGGCCTCTGGTCAATTGCTATTGATTGGGGAAGGCCACGAAACCCTGGCTGGTAACACTATCAGAGCCTTCATCTCTTCCCAGGCCAAAGGGCTGTGTGATGCCCACCTGCCAAGCTATGGGGAGGATGAGGTCCCGTGTGTGAGTGGACATGCCCAGAACAACGCCAGGCACCCAGGCGATGCTTGTTATACAGAAGCTACCTCCAACACTTCTACAAATGTTGGAGCAGGGGGCCAGGCACTGTTCTAGAATGAAACTGTTACCCCTGGAGCCTCAGAGAAGGGCCTAGATGGTTATTAACTGTTCAGTAGATGAAGAAAGAGGGTGTCTCCAGCAAGGATTAAGAACTGAATGAAGGAGGAGGTGCTAGGATGCATTAGTCAGAAGAAGAAAGTAGAGCCTTTGCTCTGTAACCTGGGCTCTCAGATAGCCACACCCCAGCTGAGATGGCACACCATGGGCCGAGTTGCCAGAGTCCTAGTCACACATGAATGTGACTTGGAAGATGAGGGTGTAGGGTCCTGAACACCTGAGGACAGCCTGTTGGTGCAACCAGGCCGGTGGGCAGTTTACTTCCCAAGGTCTGTCCTCTTGGGGCCCTTGAAATCCCACTTGGGATTTCCTGGTAAAGGGAGAGTTTGTTTTGGGGAGAGTGTGGGTTCTGGGCAGGACAGGTTTCATAAGAATGGACCTGGGCAGTCACAGTGGGCACCATGTTTGAAAGGGATAGCTTAATGCTTTTACCGTCTTGAAATTCTTCATAATTTTCAAAGAGAAACCTTGAATTTTCTTTTTGGCTTGAGTCCTGCAAGTTATATAGCCTATCACAGTTCTAAGGCCGAGGGTGATTGACTGTCCCCTAGCCCATAAGGGATGTGGCAGAGCCCACGCTGGCCCCTGGCCCTGGACGTGACGGGCTCAGAGAAAGATGAGGGAAGCAGTGTGGGGCTCTGCCCTTCCAGAGGCCCAGAGCAGGCATGAGTCCTGTTATTGAGTGGAGCAGGCTGGACGAGAGTCAGACAACTGGGCTTGTGTCCTTACTAGGCAGCTATGTGCTCTTTGGCGGGCTCTGGACTTCTCTGAGCCTGTTTCCCCATCTGCTGACTGGGGACAGAGTGACCACATGACAGGCGCTCTGAGGGCTTAATGAGGAAACAGGCAGAGAGTGCCTGGAATGTGGTAGGCGCTCAGCAGATGTGTGCTGGTGGGTGCCTGCTTGGGCCCAGAAGGCTGATGCTTTGTGAATACTATGCTCCTACTCCAGGAGACGATGGCAGAAAAGACACCAAGTCCCTGCCTACCCCGGAGTGGACACAGGGTGCTGAGTGCCATCCTGAGAACTGTCTTCCAGGAAATGGGCTGCCAGCTCCCCCTCCAGAGGGGCCACCGTCCTTGGCCACTTGACTGCCAAAGTGAGCAGTTGTTCAGTCACTGAGTTGAGCCCGACTCTCTGCGACCCATGGACTGTAGCCCACCAGGCTCCTCTGTCCATGGAATTCTCCAGGCAAGAATACTAGAATGGGTTGCTGTTTCCTTCTCCAGGGGATCTTCCTGGACCAGGGATCAAACCCACATCTCCTGCACTGGCAGGCAGATTCTTTACCACTGAGCCATCAAGGAATCCAGGAGAACAAATGCAAGCCCTGGCCCAGGGGTGGCGATTCCAGACTTGTCCTGGGGCCCTGAGCATTCCTACCCCTCACTCCCACAACCGTCTCACATCTTAGTTGCCCCAGAGCCTCTCCCGCTGGAGCAGTTCTCCCTGACAGTGCAGGGCCCTTCTCTCTGGAAGGCCTCCCCCTCCAGGGGATAGAGCTGTGGGCTGAGATCTCCTGCTCCTCCTCCTCAACACCCGCTTGTTCCCTCCCCCACCCCCTTTCTGATCCTTGATTTACCCTGAGCTGGATTAAGATTTCCAGCCTCCCTCAGAGCTGAGAGGTTAGGGTGCACCTCCCTGCACCAAATTCAAAATAAAAACCACCCTAAATCTGAAAATCAGTGTGACAAAGTCTAATCAAACTCTGATTCCACCCACCCCCCCACCCGGGACGACTACTGCCTTGCTATTTTTGAAATACTAAGAATTAGCTTTAAAAAAAAAAAAAAGCCAAACCAAACCCAAACACTTTGCTGATGCCCTTTTGATGCCAGTGCCCTAAGCACATGCTTAATCTGCCTGTTAGGTAACCTGGCCTCGCCCGCCCCCGCCCCTGTGCCAGAGCAGCACAGAGGCCTGGCCTGCAATACGGGGCATTGGGCCACTCTGCCCGGAGCCTTCCCCCAGGGAGAGGGAAGCCCTGGGCCAATCAGCCCCTCCTGGAGAAGTGATGTCAGGAAAGCCCAGAAGGTTCCACCCCACCCCTGCCACGGGCACACCCTGTCCTCCCGACCGGAGCAGCCAGGGCCAGCCCTGGGCCCCCTTCCAGTCCTCCAGCTGGCCAGGGACAGCCGAGCTGCGTTAATGGTCAGGCCTGCTGCCCTGCGCTCCACACCTGTGGGCAGGTCTCCCTGACCCAGCGCCTCCCCTTCCTGCTGTGGGAGAGGGAACTTCTGCAGACAGGCTTTTCCAGATCCTGCTTATAAACCCCGGTTAAAAATAAACTCTGCATGTCTGAGCAGGAGAGGGTAGGGAGGTGAAGTGGTGGGAGACGGAGAAGGCAGGCAGAAGGCTGCAGACCAGCAGGAAGACCAAGCCTCCATAGCTGATATCCAGCCTCCTAGAAAATTCCAAGTGGGGGGACCTTTCGGAGCACTTCATTTTGCAGAGATAATACAGGCTCAGAAAGGGGGCAGGTCATTTCCCTAATTGTCAGGGGAACAGAGCCCTCTGGGCCTGGCCCTAACTCCTCCTTTTGCTCTGAGTGAGACGTGAGGCACTTCCCGATGGTTCAGCAAGTCAAGAATACGCCTGCAATGCAGGAGAAGCGGGCTCTATCCCTGGGTTGGGAAGATCTCCTCGAGGGGGAAATGGCAGCCCGCTCCAGTATTCTTGCCTGGAAAATCCCATGGACAGAGGAGTCCCTGGGGTCGCAAAGAATCGGACTCACTGAGCACGCACGCAGAGGCATGAGGACTGTCCCCCAGCTCCTGGGCACGCCTTCCCTGAACACCCCCTGATAAAGCCAGAAAGGGCCCCTACCCACATCCCTGCCATGCCCACTCTCCTGCTCAGATCTTTTCCTTCCCCCCAGCCCCAGCACCTATCCAGCTTGTCCCCCTTTTACCTCCTCAAGGGAAGGGACATTTATTACTGTGCCTGGCGTGGTGCATATGAAGCCATGTATCCCTCTTGATGATAAACCAAAGCTGGAGCTCAGATGTTTTCTGGAGGTCATTTTACATTCCAGGGAAGAGAAGGAAAGGATTGCTGAATTCTGAGCAGTTTACGCGTGCAAGGTATTTCCCTTACGTGTGACTTCCGAGCAAGGCTTAGGGCAGCGCTGCAAAGGATAATCCATCTGAGAGGTGAGCCCTGGAGACAGAGAGCTTTAAGGCACTGGCTTAAGTTCACAGAGGAGCCCTGCTCAGTTGAAACCTGTCTCCCACCCACTCCCTTGCCTCGGCAGCACCGCAGCCTCCTAGCCCAGCTCTCAGGATGTGGTCCGCCTGCAGCAAGCACTCTCTGGGCATGACCTGACTACACTCTCACAGCACCCACCAGAGAGCTACTGCTGCCCCCTCTTTTTACAGTGGAGGAAACGGAGACACCGTGAAGTTGAGGGACTGCAGTCCCCCAGTAGACAGAGGAGCTAGAATTCGAGGCTAGGGACACTTGACTTCTTGCAGGCCCGTGCTCTTAATCAGACACAATCTGAGCCCTTCCCAATACTTCCAGCCCCTCATCACTTTGGCCTGCGGGGGGAGGGGTGTGGGTTTCAGGCTGGCCTCCTGGAATCTCCTTCTGGCTGTGGGTTCTCATTCTATAGCCATTCTGGTTGAAGGCTTGGGAAAGAAAGGGGCTGAGAGTGGAGTTTGAGATTTGCGTCTCGCCCCTTTTTTTTAGAGTTTTAGCTTTGTCCCTGCTGCCCTGGGGGATGAAGTTTGTTTGTCTCATTCTTCAGGAGGGGCTTCCCCCCCAGAAATTCCCATGAAATACACAAATGTGGATTCTTGGAAAGAGTGCCTTCAGGCTCTGGGATTAGACCTAGGGGCAAGTGTTTCTTCTGTACCAGTGTTCTCACTCTGAGCCTTGAATTTCTTCTCTGTTAAGTAGAGAGAATAGTGCCTGCTTCGAAGAATGATAAAGGGGGTCAAATGAGACGATAGATTATTGTAAATGGTGAAGTCATCTGTGGTCAGTTTTGACGCATTGATGCTCTTACCTTCCTAAAGGAAGAAGTCAGTTTGAGGGGTAGTGAAAGTGGCTGGGGGAGTGCAAGCTGGGCAGACAGGCTGTTGATAAAGTGAATTTTGTCCCAGAGCCCTGAGACCTCTGAGCTACAGGGGAGAGGCTGCAGATGGTTCAAGATTTGCTTTGCCTGTGCCCTATCCCCTGGGGCTTTGGTGGATCAAGAAGCTGGCTTTGCCTGGGCTGCCTTAGGAAGCTGCATTTTCTACACAGCCCAGCCTGGAATGCACCCTTCGCCCTTCCAGAGCACAGGGCCCCCATGCTCACTGTCACACAAGAGCAGTGACATTCTCCCAGCCGATTCCACCCCAGGGTCCCCCAAAGGGGAGGGGCTTCTGGCCTGTCTGGAAGGTTGACGGGCTGCAATTGACAGGAGTTCTTGTTCCCAATCTGCCCAGGTGGCTGCGGGGAGTTTGGAGGCTGGGGGAAGACAGGAGGAACCCTCACCTAAATGGAGCCAGGCGTCCATGGCACCAGGAGGAGAGAGCTGCTGCAGGTGAATGTGGTCTCACTGGCTTATGTAACCATTCCCCTCGGCCCCCACAGAACATACACAAACAATAACTTGGAATAGATATCGATCTGGTTGAGGCAGGTCATCAAAACCTGGAACTGTCCCTGCCAAACAGGAACATCCTGCCCTCTCAGCTGAGCAGACGCCTGGCTTATGGGGGGAGGAATGAGTGATGTAATCAGGCTCTTGGAGCCAGGAAGCATGAATTGTCCTTGCCGTGTTGGGTCATCTGCTCAATTATCACTTATTCAGCATTTAAAATGTGGTCATAGCCTATGGCTATACCACCCTGAATGCGTCTGATCTCGTCTGATTTCAGAAGCTAGGCAGGGTCAGGCCTGGTTAGTACTTGGATGGGAGAATGTGGTCATAAGTAAGCAAAAGTCCATGTTGATAGGCTTACAATGTCTCAGGGAAGAGTTCCAGAAACATACAATTTGGTAACAGAGGGGCAACTGCTTTAGCCTGGGCAATTTGGCTTGGGTTTTGATGAGCAGATAGGAGTTCACTGAGCAGGGAAGGGAAAAATCCGGGGTCTTACTTGTCCACTGGTTTAAGATGAAAAAACAGCCCCGTGCAGAATACATGAGTGCTGGGAGGTACACCAAGGTGGCAGGAAAGTGTGACTCAGGAATGAGGCTGTTCTGGGTCTGATGGTAGATCTTCCTGATACTTCAATTTTGGCCTCTGCCCCACTGGTCAGGCATCCAGCCCTTCTCTAGGCTCTGCTGGAAGAAAACTTGGCCCAAAGCAAATTTCTCTGAGTGGGCCAACCAGTACCTTGATAACTAGCAGCCCAGAGGTCAAGGGAGGACTTTTATTGATGCCCTGGAGAGTGAAAATACACAGATGGGAGGTCTTCCCCATCTCCCTAACCTCTGCCCTCTTCCCCACCTGCCCTGACTGCAGCCACCAGGCAGCATCATCTCTCTTAACCTGTTCTTGCTTGGTCTTGAAATAGCTTGGCTGAATCCTTAATGTGCCCTTTTCTAGGCCTCTCACTTGACTAAGTGATTCAAGACATAGACTACTACATGGCCATTTCCAGTTATTCCTTAGGTCCTGACATTGCACACACAGCCTGATTAGCCTGCAGCCCCATAAGGACTCACAGGCAAGTCCTCTTGAATGGCAAAAGCCCACAGTCCCAAACCAGCTATGTGCACGCAGGCAGTCACTCCCTTGAAGATGGTGGCATCCACGCTTACCATGTTTAGGACCAGGTGGATCAGCTGCAGAGCAGAGCTCGTGGAGTGGGCACACCTGAGCTGTTTGTGAACATGGGCCCCTCATCACTTAAACATCAGGGAACGCAAACCATGCGTGGACTTGGTCTCAGCTAAATTAATTTGCAGCTGCTTTTAGATGAGTCACAAGTGTATCTGATTATCATGTAGCATCTCTTTTCAAGTTAGAGGTTCCCCAGGTGGCAAGTGAGAATTGTGCTTCGTCACCTATTTTATCGAAGCAAAAATCAAGACTTAAAAGATGGATTTGCTTACAGTTCCTTTATTTAGCAGACACCTATGGAGCACCTACTCTTAGCCATTGTCTCTGCAAACACAGAGCATTCAGGAGGAAGCAATACAAAGGGCCTGTCTTCAGGAAGCTTGCATTCTGGTGGGGCAGACCAACAACAAATAAATATGTCAAAATATGTCAGTACACGTCATATACTATTTAGGTGGATAAGGTAGGGAACGGGAGAATGGTTGACAGGATGGAGAGAGTGTTGTTTTATACAGATGATTCTGGAAGATGACGTCAGAGAAGAGATCTGATATATACACGAGGCTAGGGTGTTCCATGCCGTGTGTCAACGTCATAATCACACTTGCACTGCCCTCATTCTTTTATCTCTGTGCTGCAGGCTCCCTTCAGCGAGGCAGGGACTCTTTGAAAAAAGGGATGACAGCTACTCATCTTTGGGTCTTCAGTTCCAAATGTGGCCCAAGGGCTGTTTGCATGTTTCCACCTCCCCCTCCCAGAAGGGCTCATGAAATACTCCAGGCTCACTCCAGGAACAGTGCCTGGAATAGAGAATGTTTCTGACTGACTGCGCTGCAGATAGAATGCATGATTAGAAGCCTGCAGTGGGTGGGGCGAGGTATGGGCCTGGGGGCCAGAAGCACAGGCTAGGAGGGAGACAGGAGTGATCTCTAATTTCACTTCCTGGCAGTTGATCCAGTGGTTTCAAGTTGGCCTTCTACAGAAAACCAATTGCAAACATCTGGGGACGACAGAGGATGAGACGGTTGGATGGCCTCACCGACTCAAGGGACAGGAGTTTGAATAAACTCCAGGAGTCGGTGATGGACAGGGAGGCCTGGTGTGCTGCAGTCCATGGGGTCGCAAAGACTGAGCTACTGAGCTAAATATTGTGCTAGTTACCGTTCTAAGCACTTTATATACATTAATGCATTTAATCCTCATAAAAGCCCTGTGGGACGGATGCTGTTTTATAGGTCACGGTTCTAAAGCACAGAGAGGCTAAGTGATTTAGCTAAGGTCACACAGCTAATAATTGGCAGAGCCAGAAGGTAAACCCAATGTTCTTATCCTTACCCCATTGTTTCACATCCCATATCCTTACCTCAGAGACTGTTTCCTAGATCTTTAACTGAGACATTTGTGCCCTCAGTCTCTGGGTTGAGCTAGAAGGTTTTTGAGACTCAGCTTCCACGAAGGTAATAGTTAAGCAAAGGTTTCAGAAAAAAAAAAATTAAGTATTTAATTACAAGTAATTTAAGACATTTTTATACTGTAATGATGACAGATATAAAACCCAAAGCCAAGTGAATTTTTAAGATAAAAAGGAGAGAGCTTTCCAGGAAATGCCTGGATGGGGAGTTGATGGGGAGTTGCAGGATTTCTGTCCCCAGACCCTTCTCTTAGTTCCTAGCCAGGGTGAACTGCTCTTGTCTGTGACTCCCTCCCCCCTATCCTGGCACAAGACGTACACGACTGCACACACACACACACACATACACATGGTATCCCCAACCACTGTGATGTCTGGATAGAAGGGATCGCCGACCATGGCAGGCAGAGTTGCCATGTCCCTGTCTGATTCTTCTTCTGTGGGCCCAGGCAGCTGAGCCAAGGGGACCTGGCAGGGAGGCGGCAGGGCCTTGGCTCTCCGTGGGAGCTTGCACAAGGCTCCGACTTTCTGACCTGTGCCTGTGGGGTGGTGTGAAGCTGATCTTCCAAAAAACCATCGAGACTGTCACCCAGGAGAGAGCAGGCGGGAATCTCCCCGTCCTCTGCACCTGGGCCGGAGTCCAGTTCACAGGGCCCAGGCCTTGATGTTCCCTCCCGCAGGCTGAGAGGCGTGCTCCCTGGCCCACATTCTCGGCGTGTCTGTGTGTCAAAGCCCAGGGGCGCGGGCCCTCACTGCCATGGGCTGCAGAAAGGGTCCCTCTGAGGAGAGACGGGGCCCACGGGAGTTGTAAAGGCCGAGCGACTTGGATGAAAACTGCCACTTCCACCCACGATTGATGACCAGGAGCTGAGGCACCTCACAGAGGAGGACAGGCTGGGGAATTGATGTGCCGGCATCTTCATTGACAAAGCAAAAAAAAAAAAGCAAACACACCCGCCAAGGGGGTGAGTCATGCAGGGAGATAGCATGACAGAAGGAAAAGGCCAAGGATGTGTGAGTGTCTGGGGGTGGGGTGGGGGGGCAGAGGAAGGGCTTGGGCAGGGAGAGCTGAGAGGGGGAGAGAGAACAAACAGGATCGCCTGTGAGGAAATGCATGAGTGAGAGAGAGAGGAACCAGAGCGGGTGTGTGCGAGAGGGGTGACGAGAGATGTGCTGTGACTGACAGGAGGCAGGCAGGGGTGGGGGGCGACGGACGCCCCCTCACGCGCCTTTGGCCACAGGGGCTTCTGGAAAGCCCTGCCGTTCGGAGTGAGTGAGGGACATGGGGGGAGAGGTGAGATTTCATTACCTTTCCCTTTGTGTGATATTTTCGTGTTAGAAATCTAAGACTGGAGCTATAAATAATCCAGTCACAGCTGCAGCATCCTGGAGATTTATGGTGCATGCCAATGCCAGCCAGCTTTGGGCTGAGTGGGGAAGGGGGGTGGCTTTACTGAAGCCAAGATGAAAGGCTGGTTCTCGAGTGCTCAGCGGCCCTCCTCACCCGGTCCTGCCCCCCAAACCTAGCCAAGCCCCCCCGGGCAGAGGGGAGCTCATGAAGGCTTAGACCCTCTTGTCCGTCCTGGGCGGCCTGGAGCCAGGCAGGAGCCCCGAATGGGCAGCTTGGGAAGGTTGGGGAGACAGTGGGGGGCGGGGGGACAGGGTGGGCAGAAGGGCGTGCTCTGCCCTGGGCTTCCACTGTGTCGGCTGCCTCAGACAAGGGGCGGGCTGGTGGTCCCCGGTGGGGTCGACAGGTGGCCCAGACACAGATGGGCTCGGGCCTGGTGGGGTCCAACGGTCCCCAATCCTGTTTTCCTCTTCGAACCGGGGCCTTGTTCTCTGTGTCTCAGCAAAGACTGCCCAGCTGTGCTCCGTGCAGGACTCCGTGGGGCCTGGGGAGTCTCTGTGTCCTGGGAGGGGGGCTTTCCTATTGACCTGAACTTGGGGGCTGCTGGGTGGGATGGTGACACCAGTGGGCAGAGGCAGCCAGTGTCTTTTGGGCCATGAGAGGGCAGGGCAGGTCTCCCCAGACCGGCTCCAAGGCTCTGCCTCCAGCCCTGTCATGAGGGTGGATGGAGGAGGTGAGGGGAGACGTTTGGGAGGCCAGCCATGGGCTCGTCCTCAGGGCCTGTGGGGCTGGAGGAAGAGGAGGAAGGTAGAGGTCTCGGGGAGAGAGGAGCTGACTCAAGGCACTCCTGTGACAGGCCAGTGCCTCCCTGCAGTTTCCCAGCAGAGCGCTTAACCCGCTGTATCGGCCACAAGCCTGAGGGGAGGTTTTCTGAGGGCAGGGAACACGCACACCTGCTCTGACGGCAGCCTGGTGACAGAATGGGCCCTGACGCGGGGCATCAATCCTGCTGACGAGTCAGACCCAGTGATGGTGTGTGTGTAAGCCCCACGGACCGGAGCTCCGATGTGTGTGCAGGCCCTGCGGACCAGGGCCCCGATGTGTGCCCAGGCCCTGTGGACCAGAGCCCTAAGAGCGGGTGTGTGCTGAGGGAGAGGCCAGAGCCCCCTGGGTCTCCAGACCCCACTTGGTCCCTCTGACCAGTCCTCAGGCTGCCATGTCCAGCCCTTCTGCCAGCTCTGTGGCCCAGTTACCTCAGGCACCAACCTGTTACTTGGGTGGTTTCCGCTTTGCTTTCCTTCTAATTCCCTGAACAAATATTGAACATCCAGAGAGACACCCGAATCCTGCGTGGGGTTGGGGGCGGTCACACAGCTGGCTGCTTCTTAAGGGCAGTTCGGTAGAGATAAACTCACCTCAGCTGCAGGCTTCTGGAAGAAGGAGGCTTCTGAGGGGTGAGTGGGCAGGGAAGGGGCTTTCCCTTCAAGGATGAGGCTTCCTCCCGGGAGGAGGTGTTTGTCTCAGGACGGCTGACTTCAAGGCAGCCACATGGGGTTGTGACAGGGTCTTGGCTTGGGGCCAGGGCAGTCTGTCCTTCAGCCTCCAAAAGCAAACCACGTCTGGGAATGGGATACACACAGGAGGATTCACTTTCCTGGGGTGTCCCGGAGGCAACTCAACTGAAAACACTGATGACCTCAGAGCAAGATTGTCTAACATTACGAATGGCAGAGCCGCGACATTCAGAAGGGGAGCTGGGAGCCTCTGAGGGCCTCCCGACGTGTGGCTTAGAGGAGTCCTCCTCTGGTCATTCCTGGTGCCCCTGTCAAAGGACCACTCACCACTACAGGCATCATCACTCTGTCCTCTCCAGGTTCTTACCGAGAGCCCCTGAAATGGACTCTGACACTTTTAAGCACAGGAAAGATTTGTTGGAAGGATCTAGGGATGCTCAAAACATCAGCAGGAAGGCTGGAGGTCCAGCTCAGAAAGGGAGGAGGAGCAGGATCTAAGTGATACTAGGTAGTGAGCACAGACATTACTTTATCAACAAAGGTCCATCTAGTCAAGGCTATGGTTTTTTCCAGTAGTCATGCATGGATGTGCAAGTTGGACTATAAAGAAAAATGAGCACCAAAGAATTGATGCTTTTGAACTGTGGTGTTGGAGAAGACTCTTGGGAGTCCCTTGGACTGCAAGGAAATCCAACCAGTCCATCCTAAAGGAAATCAGTCCTGAATATTCATTGGAAGGACTGGTGCTGAAGCTGAAGCTCCAATACTTTGGCCACCTGATGCAAAGAACCAACTCATTGGAAAAGGCCCTGATGCTGGGAAAGATTGAAGNGAGGATGAGATGGCTGGATGGCATCACCGACTCAATGGACATGAGTTTGAGTAGATTCTGGGAGTTGGTGATGGACAGGGAGGCTTGGCATGCTGCAGTCTATGGGGTCACAAAGAGTCGGACATGACTTGAGCAACTGAACTGAACTGAGGTAGTGAGCATTGTTGCCAAGGTCACACTGCAGAGCAGTCTGCTTAGCATACATTTGCTGGCATCACCCCTATGCCAGTCATGGTGTGATGATGGTTAATTTTATGTGCCAACCTCCCTGGGTCACAGGATGCCCGGATATTTGGTCAGACATCATTCCGGGTGTTTCTGGATAAGATTAGCACTTGAATCTCTAGACTGAATAAAGCAGGTTGTCCTTCCTAATGTGGGTCATCTTCACCCAGTCAGGTGAGGGCCCAAATAGAACCAAAAGGTGAAGGAAGGAAGAATGACCTCTCTCTGCCTGACCACTTGAGCAGAGACCTCGGTCTTCTCCTGACCTTGGAATGGGACTTACACTAT